CGCCGGCACCCCGGGAGCCGGCATGGCTGGGGATGCTCCAAGGGGGTCAGTGTGGGTGGTGGGGTGAGCCCGGTCCCCTGCTAACCCACCCCTGGCTCTGCTTGTCTGCAGAACTGAATGCACTACAAAATGAGCTGGGGCCCTACGGGCTCGTCGTCCTGGGCTTCCCCTGCAACCAGTTTGGGAAGCAGGAGCCTGGCCAGAACTCGGAGATCCTCCCCGCGCTGAAGTGAGTACCGCCACGGGGGCTGCGGGGTGTCTGCCCCATGGCTGGACGGGGGTCCCAGGCTGGGCAGTGGGTGCAAATGCAGAACTGAATGCACTACAAAATGAGCTGGGGCCCTACGGGCTCGTCGTCCTGGGCTTCCCCTGCAACCAGTTTGGGAAGCAGGAGCCTGGCCAGAACTCGGAGATCCTCCCCGCGCTGAAGTGAGTACCGCCACGGGGGCTGCGGGGTGTCTGCCCCATGGCTGGACGGGGGTCCCAGGCTGGGCAGTGGGTGCAAAGGCTGCAGCTCCTGCTGGCTGCAAACCCCCTCCCAGCCTGGGGCTGGGGCCCCCAAAAACACAGGGGGTTCCCCTGGTTCCCCCGTGCAGCCCTGAGAGCTGCCCGCTGCGTGATGCTCTGCCCACCCTCCCCTCGCAGGTACGTCCGGCCCGGGGGCGGCTTCGTCCCCAACTTCCAGCTCTTCCAGAAAGGGGACGTGAACGGGGCCAAGGAGCAGAAGTTCTACACCTTCCTGAAGGTGGGTGCCGTGGTGCGGGGGCAGCACCCAGCTTGGCTTTTTGGGGGGGCAAGGCAGTGATGCACCGGCTCCCTGTTGCAGAATGCCTGTCCCCCGGTGGCAGAGGAGTTCGGGAACCCCAAGAACCTCTTCTGGGAGCCCCTGCGGAACCACGACATCAAGTGGAACTTCGAGAAGTTCCTGGTGGGCCCCGACGGCGTGCCCGTCATGCGCTGGTACCACCGCGCCAACATCGCCGTCGTGAAGAACGACATCATCGCCTACATCAGGCAGCAGCAGGGTCTGTAGAGGCGGGGGGGG